AAAAGGAAGAACAAAACTGGAGGGATCATGTTCCCTGATTTCAAGCTATACTACAAAGCTCAAGTAATTAAAACAGTATGGCACTGGCATAAGAACAGACCCAGCGATCAATGGACAGAATAGAAAGCCCAGAAATAAACCCGTGCATATATGGTCAATTAATATATGGCAAAGGAGCCATGAATATACAATGGAGAATAGACAGTCGCTTGAATAAATGGTGTTGGGAAAACTGGAAAGATACATGTAAAAGAATGAAACTATAACACTGTCTTATACCATACACAAAAGTAAACTCTAAATGGATTGGAGACCTAAATGTAAGACATGGAACCATAAAACTCTTTGAAGAAAACATAGGCAAGAATCTCATTACCATCAACATGAGAAATTTCTTTATGAATATGTCCCCACGGACAAGGGAAACAAAAGCAAAAATAAACAAGTGGGACTACATCAAATTAAAAATCTTACTCACAGCAAAGAAAACCCTTAACAAAACTAAAAGGCAACCTACATATAGTAGAATAGATTTGTAAATGATATATCTGATAAGGGGCTAATATCCAAAATATATAAAGAACTCATACAATTCAACACCCCAAAAAAACAAACAATCCAATTCAAAAATGGGCAGAGGACCTGAAAAGACATTTTTCCAAAGAAGACATACAGTTGGCCAACAGGCAAATGGAAAGATACTCCATATCACTAATCATGAGAAAAATGCAAATCAAAACCATAATGAGGTATCACCTCACACCAGTCAGGATAGCTTGGTGGGAGCCATGCTACTCAAGCTGTGTAGCAAAGCCAGGCTGGAGGAAGACCCCCACAAAGCAGGGGCCTTCACAGCTGGCTCCCTCTATTATCCACCTTGATTTTGTTATTCTCCATTATACTATTGGCTTTGTTTTTGCTTACATTGTTGCCAAGGGCTAAGCTAACCTTTGATAAGCAGCACGGAAAGGAGAACATAAATTTCCCAGAAGCTTTTCAGGACAGTGCTCATGAAGAATGGAGCACGCAAGGGCCAGATGGCGATCTTGGCATGGAATACCAAAACCTGCAGTCAGCTAGTCAAACATTGACTACCCCATCTCCACCTAAGTGGGAATGCCCCCTTTTTGCAATGCTAGTGAAATTAGTGATAAAGAGTTATAAAAGAAAATTAGAGAAATAAAGTTTTGGGGGAATACTGAATGGAATAATCCTGTCTGACACTTAATCAATCTTCTCATGTTTTCTTCCTTCTGCTACTTCTATAGCTTTTCTTCTTCCTTCCTAATTACAGCCCTTTACTAGAATTTGTGCCTCATATTTGGAATTACCAAGTACCACAATTCTTCCAAGTGGTAAAGATATCTCAAGACAAGTGCTGGGCATAGAAGCCATGGGGCATAAATCTGCAAAGAAGTGAAAAATTAACCTTTTCGAAGAATGTTACTTCTCTCTCACTTATCAGCTTTACATCTCCCTGTATGGTCCCAGAAGATGTATGGTTAGCCAGAGAGGGGTATGATTCGTCAACCGAGGAACAACCTAAGACAGGCACAGTCGCAGGGGGGCCATTAGGTGAGAAAATGGGGACCAACAGAAGTGAGGCTTAGAACCTCACCCTCTCAGTTTTGAGAGAAATCTTCGGCACCCGTAGATGTTTTGTTGCCCTTGTCTAACTTGGATTAATACCTGTTCTATAGGCACAGACCTGATCATCTACACTTGCCTTCTTACAGCACTAAATCATGCTTTCTATCTTTATCTTGTAACTACCTATGATGGAATAAATATTATGAGGGGAAAAAATGTGTACCCCTTGCATTAAAAATATAGATGATGATACCTGCATTGCTAACTGTGGCAGTGGGTGACCTGCATTTCACCCTGAGCTAATAGACTCCATAGTCACTGCTACATGCTGCATGCTTCTGCAGTCACATGCATTACTTAGAAACCGCTTTGCATAGAAACAGGAGACACAATAGAGTACATGTTGCTAAGAAAAGTTTAGGTCAAGGAACAGAAAAAAGAGCACCTGTCTAACACTTGGCTAATCATGTATAGATTAGAAAGAAACAGAAAGAAAAAAGCTTGCCTATGCTCGTCAATCAAAAGAACAAATAAAAAATAATCATATCCTCGTGCAAAATGGTATAAATAAAGATGTCATCAGCACTTTGTCAAGAGACCTCCTCCAACTGACTCCGTGTCCTGTCTCTCCGTGCGCCGACTCCGTCTCATCCTTTCGGGCAACCCCCACCCCGCCGCCCTCCGCAGAAGCTGGACTCTGGCAATAGCTATTATCCAAAAGACAAGAAATAACAACTACTGGCAAGAATGTAGAAAAAAAGGAACCCTTCTGCACTGCAATGTAAACTGGTCCAGCCACTATGAAAAACAATATGGAGTTTACTCAAAGAGCTAAAAATAGAAATACCATATGACCCAGCAATTCCACTTCTGGGAATTTACCAGAATAAGAAGAAAACAAAATCACTAATTCAAAGAAGATATATGCACACCTATGTTCACTGCAGCATTATCTACAGTACCAAAGTTATGGACATAACGCAAATGCCCATCAATAGATGAATGGATAAAGAAGTGGTACATATACACAATGGAGTCTTACTCAGCCACAAAAAAGAAAGAAATCTTGCCTTTTGTGACAACATGGATGGACCTAGAAAGCATTATGCTAAATTAAATAAGCCAGGCAGAGAAAGACAAATACCATATAATTTCACTTAATGTGGAATCTAAAAAACAAAACAAAAAAGACATGGACTAATAAATATGGGCAATAGACTATTGGTTACCATAGGGAGGAGGCTGAGGAAATGGGTGAAATAGGTGAAAGGAATAAAGAAGTACAAACTGCAAGTTGTGAAAATAAGTTAGTCATCAGAATGGAAATACAGCATATAGAATATAAGCAGGAATACTGTAGTATCTTGGTACAGTAATGGGGGAACTACACATGGTAAGCATCTATTAATGTATATAATTACTGAATCACTGTGTCGTATATCTGAAACCAATATAATATTGTATATCAACTTTATTCCAATAGAAAAATAAATAAATAAATAAATATGAAGAGGAAGTAAAGTTCTCTAGTAAACTCTTGTTGCCTGAGGTATATTTCTTAAAATTACATATGAGAAGACTGCCCTGCACATAAGGACTATGAAAATAGGTAAAATTTTCATTAAATCAATATATAAAATTTTAATAAGGCTAAAATAATCTCCTCTCTCAAATATTCTCTGAACATTCCTTCCAAATTCTCTTAGCTAAACCATTCAGTGAACAGAAAGTCTCATTTCTCATCTTCCTTTGACTCACTGGGTCTGCTCTGAAGTAAAATGTGCCAGGCAAGGTGGGAACCACAGATATGCCACCTCCCAGAATAATTCACATGTTTTAATCTGCATAGTCAAATGAGTTCTTGCTTAAAAAACAGATATAAATGGGAAAATACCTAACTGTTCCACATCAATAAGTGTAATTTAACAATGCCGCAATCTGTCTAAAAATCTGTTAATTTAAGCACTTAGGGTAGAGTCTCTGCCAGTTCCATCCTCCCTTTTTTTCTTGAACACAATGAAATATGGAAGAATCACACTCTGAAATTCCCCCTAAATGGTAACACACTCTGTATTCATCGTCTTTCGGCTTGATTTAAGCCATATTTCTTCATTAGTTAAACAAGACAAATTGAAATACAACAGACAATGAATTACATAACTAAAAATCTAGTAATGATTAAAAAAAAAAGAGCATCAGTTACCTGAAGTGTTAGGATATCTCTTTGGTTTAGCAGGGTAGAGGGACTGCCAAGCACTTCTGTATATACAAAGGGACACGGGCAGGAGGCATTTAAGCTAACATGTGGCTAGTTCTCCCACCTCCTACACCTACCACCGATACAGGCCCAGGAATCTCAGGAATTCAAAATAAATAGATGCCCTCTTTGGAATTCATTAGGTTATTTTAGAAAGAAAAAATAATACTTCCATAAAATACTGTAATAAAATTTGCTATTCACATATTGAAGTATCTAATGACATGTTGGTAACTGTTTAATAACTGTCTTGAGGGAAAGGGAGCAAGCCCTGGTTTGTAGCAGTTGCCAGTGTCTGTGCTGTAAATACCCTCACCTGGCAGATTCAAGCTGATGTCCCTGAATGCAAAATCGGGAGGAGAAGCAGCAGTGAACTCTCCTGAGCTGGAGCACGAGCTAGTGCAAGCTCCCCACTGGAACTACCTCCTGGGGATGACAGCTCATGTGGGTCCTCTAAGAGAAATAAGCGAAGCTTCTAGGATAGACTTGTGTGTTTTATTCTTTGTAGATGAAGTTGCAATTCTGAAGCTGTCTTTTAAATGGTTACAGTACATTTCCATCGGAAAAAAATATATATCTTTAGGATGGAGGAAACATTACCCATCATCAAATATTTGACATTTCTTAATATTAAGGAATTCAACAAATTTGCCTTTTCTTTAACAGGAATCTTTGTATGTTCAAACTAAATTCAAATTAAATGCTCAGTTTAAGTCTCCGAAAAAGTGAAAAGGATGGGAAACAAATGAAACACAACATTTCAATACCGGTATTAGACAAAAATTAACCTAAGGCAACTTGTTAGTAAAGGGGGAGGGTGGTTAGGATAAAGTCAAACGTTATCTCCCACCAGGGAATCTGTGTGCTCCCCTTGAAGCAGAGAAGTGTGAGTCTGTACTTCTGTTTGGGGGAATGTTTTTTTGCAGTAACAGGAAAAAGTAGGGGATCAAAAGCCATCTTTTTGTAGTGTTTTCCACAAAAAGCGACTTTCTTCAAAGCTAAACTTCATTTGGAAAACTAACAGAAGGAAATAAACTTATCAAACTGGAAATTCAACAAAAGGGGAAAAAACAAGAGCAACAAGAGGTCCAGCATTTCAGCACAATCGCAGCAAAGAAATAATAAAAGGAATAACAAAAGAGCAGACATATACCCAAGTTCTGAGTCTGACTGCAGCTGGAGCACTGAGGGGTCTGTGTCCCACTGCAGGGTCCTAATCGTGCAGCACAAAGGAAAAAGAACACAGAGAATTAAAGGAAGGGGAGGAAAACAAACCAAACCAAACCATGTCATTCATCAAGGCAATGGCATATACAATACATACATGGAACATCACCCCAATTCATCCCACCCCACCCCCAGGTGCAAGGAGGACCCCGCGGGTATTAAGTGACAAAAGAAAGTGGGAAGCAGTCCTTGCCTTTGAACATGTTTAATACTGGAAGCTACAGTTATTTTAGGGAAGGAAGCACTAAATATTCAAACTCCACACACACCCACACCCTCTTTGTTTAGTCTGGTTTTGTACTGTACTGAAGGCTGACTTATCTGAATATGTAAACAGCTTCATGACACCCCAGAGCCCATCCACACTTAAGAGAACCAAGCATCTTCCAAATGTAAGGGCATCAACCGGCCCAAGCGGAAGCATCTAGGGAAGTCAGGGCAGATGGGGCATAACTACAGGAACTGGTGAATAACTGGATCCTTGGGTCAGTTACTGCAAATATAATGCATCAGATTTTGAGGCTCATGAGTATTTTAGTGTTTTTTACTTATATATTACACTAAGATGGTTACCAACAATATCATTTGTTTCTAAGATGCCACATATATCTAAGTCTTTTAAATACTTCAGAAAAGAGAGCAATAGTTACCAAGGCTTGCAATTTCTCTTATTATTTTTCCTTCAAAGTAAACAGGGATAAATAGCTCTTCTAAAACAGAGTACACAAGGACCTTTCTCGGGCAGGTCCATTAAGTTCCCTGCACTAAGTAGTCACCGGTGAATCCAGCAGGAGGCTACCTGTTAGGCATCTGTAGACAGCAGGGACTTGGGAGTCAGGCATCTTGCCTCTGTGACATTCCAGCTTGGGACCCTGGGCATGTTGCTTCAGGTGGCAACCCCAGCACCCCTGTGCTTCCTCTGAGTGTGGCCCGCAGACCAGGAGCATCCGCATTTCTTGGGAGCTTGTTGGAAATGCAGAGCCTAGATCTCACCCCAGACTCACTGACTCCACACTACAGTTTAGTAAGGTCCCGGGTGGCTCGTGGGTGACTAAAAAGTCTGAGAAGCCCTGCTCGGTGTCCTTATCTGTAAAGATTTACCATGGCTTCTGAGACAATTAATGACCTGACCAGCAATGAATTTTCAAACCTTTCTCTAGCTACTGTCTCCCTCCTTCACTGTTCCCTCCCTGTGCCATGTCTTCCTTAGTGTGCTTCCTCCAAAGAGCTGTGCGGCTTATGCCTTTGCTTGGTCTGTGTCTTGGCTCACACGTCACCTGCTCAGAGAGGTATTCCATCTTTCACTACCGTATCTCAAGCAGCACATCCTTGTCATTCTCCATTCCCTTCCCTTCCCGAGTCACTTCTTCACAGAACTTAGATGGACCTAAGATTTTATTGTACACTGGCTTATTTTGTTGTTTGATCTGGACTTAAGCCCTGTAATAGCTGGGGTGGCTATATCCCTAGGTTACAGGGATATGCCTAGAATTGTGGCTGGCATACATGCTTATATAATACAACATTAGATGAATAAATGGATGGATGCATGGAAGGATAGATGATCGCTCTGGTTTCCTACAGGCATTACATGCATATATACCTATCGACCTCAAATTAATTATTTGATAAACAGTAGCTGCTTTTATTACTATCATATCCACCATCTCTACCACCACTGTTTCTTTGAGCTAACATCCTGTCTCTGTGACAGATTCCATAACAGCTCTTCTGCAGCAGTATCAGAATGCAGTTTCCCAGTTTCCCAGCTGCCCTTATTAGCCCTGGCTGTGCTCTTGTCTCTCACCGGAAGGCTCTGACCTAAGTCGATGAGAACACTAATTGGCCACTGTTTGTTAGACCACTGCTTCCCAAACTGTAATGCACATGCAGATATCTGGGAATATTGTTAAAATGTAGATTCTGACTTAGTAGGTCTGTGACATTTCTAACAGGCTGCAGGGCATACAGATGCTGCTGGCCTGACATTTTGAGCAGTACAGTATTGAGTTATACCAGTTGTTCTCAAACTCTGATGTGGACTGAAATGACCCAGAGGGTCTACTCAAATACAGAATGCTGATCTCCAACCTCAGAAACTTGGATTCAATAGATCTAGTGTGGTACCTGAGAACTTGTATTCTAACAAATTCCTGGGTAATGCTCACGGCTGACCCTGAGCCACCTTCAGAGAACAACTGGGCTAGGCTATAGCCTTCATTAGTCAGCAGGTAGAAAGTGTCACTGATTTTCAAATATGTCAGCCACTAAACTTGTGATTAACTCAAGCCTGGCCTAAGGCCCAGGCCACTTTCAGAACAATTAAATCAGAATGTGTGGGGTGGGACCCAGGCATTTGTAGAACTGAAAAATCTTCAGGTGATTCTAACAGGAAGCCAGGGATGAGAACCACTGCTTTGGATGCATTTTCTGCTCAAGGAAAGCAGCCCTTCCTGGTTCTGGACACTGATTCCTTCACCTCATTTCAAATGGTAGAAGTAATGGAATCTGTTACAGTGATGGGTATTTACTCTTCACATATCTCTGGGGATCAAACCTTTTGTCTTTAAAAGGCATTTCTTTGGCAGTAGAGAGAACGACAGTTGCTAGCTCTGGCGGATTATGAGAAGCATTCCCTTGTAAGGGGTGGGGTCAGCCACGTTGCCCTTAATTTGCCTGAGGTTTCTGATGGGATGACCTTTATTGACCTTCTCCACTTCTCCCGGGCAGGTGAAGAATGCAGCAGCTCTCAGGTGGTCCAGCTGTTCTGTTACTTATGTGACAGCTCATCTGAACTCACTGTACCCTTAAGATGTTAAAAATGATGATTCTATCAGAATCACTCACTTACGAGAAGTCTGCAGATTAGCAATCTGGAGTTTGCATTTACTCAGCCAGAACAACAAAGGTGGTCTATGTAACTAACCTGCAAAAGTTCTGACCCTCAGCCACCCACATGTTATTTAATAAATGAAATCACAGTTATTGTTAGTAATGAGCAGTAGGGTAAAGAGTCAAGATAAGGACACCATCAAATGTGCTAGCTTTAGTTTCGTTTCATTTTTCCTTTTATTACCTGTGGGGTGCTGTGCTCAGACCTGCACAAAATGCACTTTTTCTTTGAAAAAGAACCTAAAGCCAATATATAAAATGGGCAAAGGCTATTTGTGTTTCTGAGGCTAGGCTACAAATGTGTACTAAATATTCGCTGAATTCCTTCATTGCAAATTTGCAGAAAATCTCCCTGTGGATGGCAGCACCATGGAGAGAGCCCCACGCAGCCCAGGGGTGGGACGCTGGTGTTCTGGGAGTGGCTCCACTGTGTGTCAGCCGGCAAGTCTCCTCTGTCCGCAGCTACAGGATGCAGGCCTTGAAGCCCTTCAGGCTCTTTCTGCCTGGTATTTTAAAGCATCAGATGATTATTAAACTGCCTTTCAGCGTTCTTCTCCAACTGGTATACTTTTATTTAACCAGTTGACATAGGTCTTACTTTCTAACCACCTAAAATCATCAAGTTACTGAAAAAAAAACTATGGTTTCCCCAAAGCTTCTGAGGAAGTTTGAAATCTTGCCAGGGAATTTTTTTTTTAAATGAAAGAAGTACTGAAACTATAGGTAAATATATGTAAACATAAAATACTATCACAAAGTATTTTCATATAGAAGTCACACTGTTTGCTATAGTAATTCACTCTAATTTTCAGTCATTTCTGGAATGGACCAATCAGTGCATGCAGGGAGAGTATTTTTGATAAGAACATTCATATGCTTATTAAGTAAATATCATTAAAGGCCTCCTATGTAAAATGCCATGACAGAGGATTGAAATAATTCTTAAGGAAACTACAACTCTCAGGAGGAAAAAAAGCATATATAAAAGGTTCAGTAGAACGAGGCAGAAAGTAAAACACACCCTAGAAGTGGCACCATCAGTGTGCTGTGGGATATGGGACTTGCATTTAAGATTCTTACATTTTAATAAAGGGAAGAGACATATGAATACTTATACACAATGATATGCTGACAACACATCCAGGCACTGGACTGTTTTTTCATTTCACAGGGAAATGATCAGTAATTCCATTCACCTGGTTTTTGAAGGATGAGGTAGGATTAGGCCATAACAAACTCATTTCACCAGTGCCTAGTTTATTGGACTTAGGTGGCTGAGTTAGTTTAGTAGGTCAAACAGGAGTCTGTTAATTTTAGAAGCCAATTTACCAATTTATTGTGAGATTTTATTTTAAATGCCAGGAAGAACAACTGCACAAGCCTGACACACTCTTCTCTCCCTAAAGTCCAGCCTCCTGGCGAGCCAGAAGACCAGGCTTATTTAGGGGATTAGAGCAAGCGGAGCTGAATGTTTAACTGATCAGCTTCTACCTGCCCTACCCACCACAACGTCCCTGTCTTTCAGCAAAACCAGACATACCTGCTCACTGCTGCTAAAAGGTCCATTTTCTTAATTACTGGGATGACCAAAATACCCCTTCTAATTGATGTAATCTGTCTTTTACTAGGTCAACTACATTTTGTCCAGTATTCCAGTATGAGAAACCATCCTTATTTTATTTGTTTGCTTATTTTTAAGAGTTGCATTTGTCTCCACTGAACAGTTTTAGATCACTTCTTACATTAACTCTCTGATGGTCTAAGGGAGGATTTCTGATCTCTTCCAAAGGGAAGCTGCTTTTTGCACAGATCCCAAGTAACCCAATAATTTCTTATCTAGTCTGCACTCAGGGGCATTGTCATGATTTTATGAGCCCACAGTTGAACTAGCAGTTCTGGATGTGCCAATTAAGGTCACACTTCCCAGCTTCATTTCAAAATACTAAGTATAAAAGCGTCCCATGCCATGGAAAATAATCACTCACTTATTTGACCCTCAACATGCCAGACATGGTAGCCTCTGGCATCTCATCTAAAAAGACCTACCATGTAATAGTTTGCAATTTGGGGGGCAATTTGTTTTTCAATACTTGT